TCCTACATGTGCTTTTCCAGAGTCAAAATACTGTCTAACGTGAAACAGGATTGATAAAGACACAAGATGTCTCACAATGCAAACCTGCAGGAATGCCGTCCGTGTTATTTAGCAGTACAACAGTCAGGTTTGACTTCTTGCTCCACCTGGTTCTTCCAGTATTGTTGCTGGTGTTTGGGAACAGCAGATACTGGGCCACATTATAACAGGTTTCATCCTTGTCATAGTGAATGATTGAGGGCAGACAGACTAACCTGGGGTCAGGAGTTAAAGTGAAGTTCCACACAACAAGTTCATTTCAGGGTAAAAGAAACCACTCCACCAGCAAATCTCAGACTGCTTTCTAAGAGAGATGAATCTCTGTGAGTTCTGTGTTTGGAAACAAGCATTTCCTGAATTTCTGTTCATTCGATCTCGAGTTGAAAATAGACGTCACTCAAAAGCAGATCTCAGATATAAAAGTCTCAACGGTCAAGATATTTTAGTCATAGCTGATGTTGTTAAGGAGTTCTCACATTTTTATGGTGATTTTTGTTACAGTTTTTGCTTCCTCTGGGACACACCCTAATACAGACTGTCGGTAGGCCGAGGGATGAGAACACCGAGTACTTGCAGCTGAGATAGACATCAGTAGAACAAGTGTAGGCCGATGAGTTGGACTTCCCCAATTCCTTCACAAATGTTGTATTCGAGTGATATTGTGCCTTCTGTTGCACAACACTCGCCATCTCTTCATGGCTGAATGAATCTTTAAACTATCTGTAAACACAGCACGCTACTGATACAGAGGTTAGTTTTGCTCCCACTGAGGTAGGCATTTCACGCACATGAGCAGAACACACTCCTCCAAGACTGACAGGGAACAATGGGGCTTCACACTGTGGTTTCTCCTCTGATAGTGATGCCTTATTTCACCGGGATTCTTCTCCCATGTGTTGTTTGACAGCTGTAATGGGCTTGTGTCTGTACACAAAGGTAAATATGAGGTTGCTTTTATTTCTGCCTTTGTGGTGTGGGAGCTCAGGCAGATGTGTGGTGGGTGGATAAAACAAGACTGTTGACAATATCTACTCATCTGCTGGCTTTGACCCGATGGGAGCGAGGCCATGGCTGGATGCGCCTCCCTTATCGTCATATCTACGTCCCAACCCAGAGCTGCTGGCCAGACTTTTTTTTTTTTTTTGCACCGTCATGCTTCTGGCTTTCAGGTGGGCTTTTTGTTCCCTGTGGGAGCTGAATGCAGGCTGTGGGCTCACGAACAATACTGTGTTCAGAGAGCAGGGAAGAAACTGCACGTAGCGATCCCCACATCATATTATGCAAGGGACCTCCCTGTTACCTCTGTTTCCAAGCAGGAATGCCTACCTGCCTCTCTACAGGCTGGAGGACACATCCATTAAAGAGGTCACGTACCTCTGCCAGTTGAAATAAACAAGGCCATCCCAGAAAGAGACCATTTATGTAATGAAGTAACTCTTAAGGTCACCAAGGACAGTGTTGTTGTTTTTTCCCTGTTGGAGCGTTTCTCTAACCATTAATCATGAACTTGTGCAGATGAGTGAGATAAAAAAGAGAAGAAGAAGAAAAACAACACAAGCATTTGACAAAAACCTAAATAAACTAAAGATGATATAAATGTAAAATATCAGTAAATAAATAAATTATAATAAAATGGAAAATGATTAATACACTTTATCCAGGCAACAAACAATATTAATATAAATCTTGGTTCTCCAAAAGCATTTTATTTTTGGTGATATTTGGTGTAATATTGCCTTTGTTTTTTTAGACTCAAGTGACCTTTTCAGCTGAAATAAAGAAATAATAATTACATAAATGTCTGAGCTACATATTTAGTGCTCGCAATGGGGATATGCTATTTATGCTTTCACTGTCTAATGGAGATGTGGGGGAGGTATATGTTGTTGAGCCATAAACGTGTGTTTTTATGTATGTTTGGACATTTTTTCCTCTGTTTATTTGCAAAGTTAAAAAACAACAAAAACTAGGCATTTCTAGGCATGGAAAAAAAACAACAAAAAATAAATAAATTATGCATCTTAAGAGGGTGCAAATAGTACAGATGTATAATATGCAAAAAAAATAAATAAAAATAAGTTAACGTTCTATATATCCCCGACTGCAGATATCACTTCAGTCCAAGCCAGTAAGGACAGCGCTGTGTTCGCTGACTGCAGGTCCAAGGTTGATGTGATAATACATGTGTGTAGTAACATTTTAAAACCTGGTACACATTCAGTCCAAGTTCACTGTGCGGAGAGAAGCAAATCAAAGAGGTGAGTCATTGCTTAAGCTTTATATGACAGATGACAGATAATGTGAATGTATATTTAAAGGATGAAATATTTGGAATTTCCTTAGAAACTAAAGAAGGCAGAAGTGCTACTCGTTTTTTTTCAAGACTGAAAAATGAAACTTGTACATGACACCCTTTATCCCAGTATCACATGCTTATACAACCTATTTCATGCAACACAGCACGAATATAACTGTTATTGTAGTGATCTTCGGTTACTTGTTAAATGATTATTGACACACGTCGACAGTAAATAAATCGCAATTAAGAAAAAAAAAAAAGGAATACAAATGTCAATGTTTCAAACAATCTCATCTTTTAAGATAGCTAATTATTTGGTGCACGAAGAAAAGAAAATCTGACCGTAGGTAAGGACTTTGTGCACCGTTTCAAATTCAAAATAACCAACAAGGTCGTGCCTCTGCAATAATGTTTATCGTCACGTCAATATTTGATAGACAACAATAAGAAAGGTTAGAGTTTTATGAATGCAATTAGCTGTAGTTAATATACAGCATGGGCTTTCCATCATGCGGATATATAGGTCGGTTCATGTGAGGACATCCTGTGAAAGTTCTGCAAACAAATTAATACCGTGAGCTGTAGTAGTAGGCTTAGTATGTATTGTAAAGATGATGCCACAGGGTCTTCTATTTAACAAGCTTATTGAGCAGCTAATTGTGTAATACGGAGTGTGTTCAGCACAAATATGATGAAAATAACAGAAAATTACAGAGAAACATACTGTTATAAAAATTCAGTGTTATATGTTATGATTCAATGCTCGTTGTCCAACTCTTGAAATACAGAAGTCCGTGAAAGTTAGCGTGCACAGAACTTACAAAAAGAAACCAAGCCTGTGCTCAGCAGATGGGAGCAGAGGAGAAATCTGTTGTATGCCTGTATAAACTACAACGTTTCTTGACTCTGATGTCACTTGTTCAGAATCTGTACTGTGCACGTGATTCCTTGCTGCAAGTAAAACTTTGCTTTGACTTAAGAGATGACTCTGTGTACTGATTTGGAGCAGTTAGGACTCCACTGAAGACTTTTCCTAACATTTTTGGTCCTTCGAGCCGGATCCCAATATCCCTCCTCTGGACAGGTTTGGGAAAACGAAAACTGTGCACGGGGGAGTCTGGGACTCCTGAAACAAAGACCTCCGTCTTGAATTAGACGTTCTGAGAGGCGAGCCACCGCTGTCCAGAGTAGGGTGACGGGATTCAAGAACAAAGAAAAGAGTCGTCACAAGTCAAAGGTAGGTCTGGTTCTATTTGTCTCTTTCCAAGACACACTCAAAGTTTGGGAGGTAGTTATTCAGTAGTGTCTAGTTATTCAGTAGTGTCTCAGTGAAACCAACTAGCAGGGCTAACCTAACGGCGGCAACAAAGCAAAGGTTTCACTGATAGGACCAGTTGCTCGAGTGAATTCCATACAAACTGGTTGGCTACTGACGGGAAAGTGGGTTCCTTACATTCCTCAGGGATAAAACTACCTAAGAGTTGGACAGGGTCCTATAAATCTGTCATAAAAAAAGTTGGACAGGACTATATGTCTGCGTTAAATTCTTAAAAAGTCTGATAGGACTATAGGACTAAAAATCTTAAAATATTTAAACATGCTTGCTTAATTTATAAAAGTATTGATAACATGTTCCCACCACCTCTTAAAAACATCTTTAAACAAAAGAGCAATGTTGTTGATAGGCCTAAAAGATCAGTCTGCAGAGGAGACTGTGAGATCCAGGTCAGGAGAACATCTACAGGTCAAAACTATTTGTCTGTAAGGGCTTGTTAAAGTTGGAACAGTCTTCCTGCTGGGGTTAGACAATGTTCTACCTTCTCTACTTTAAAAAAAAAAAAAAAAAAAACATCTGAAAAAATGGTCAAATCTGTGGTCATGTAGACAACCTTTTTAATTGTTTGTTTTTTACAAATGTCCTATCTATTGTGGTGTTAACTTTTGTTTGTGCACCTTTTTAGACTGCACTATGATTAATATGAAACAATATATTTATTAGTTTATTAATAAGAGGAGCTAAATCTGGCATATTTACACAAAGTCATTGTACTGCATGTGTTCATTAATATGAGCTGTCTTCTTCCAAACAAATGAAATTGAATTAAAAAAAAAAAACTATTTGGAGCATGGCTAAACAGGGTGGTTAAAAAATAAATAAAAATCAGCAAAAGACAAACAACAAACAAAAAAGACATTGTGCCACCCCAATGTAAGTAATGGTCATCCGTATACAAATTGTCCTGGTCATGATGGAATAAACTTAAGTATTATATTTAATAAAATGTGTATTTTAATGATTGATTTTTGATCAGCATTTTTCTGCACCTTCTCTCCGGCTTCCTCCCACAAGGTCCAAAAACATGTTGAGGTTAATTAGTGATTCTATGTTGTCCGTAGATGGGAATGTGTTTGGTTGTCTGTCTGTAACTGTAAGTGTAGCCCTGTAATGGACTGGTGACCTGTCCAGGGTGTCCCCCCCCGGGACCCTAGTGAGGATGAACAGGTGTGTAGATAATGGATGGATGGATGGATTTCTCTGTACCAGACTGTAAAGTTCTTTTTAAGATGAGGTTCACGCGGTTCATGTCCGGAACCTTCTTCTCGGTTTATAATTCCGCACGGAGCGTTTTCACCGTTACACCAGAGCGCTGTCAAGCCAACAGAAGTGCCTCCTTCCCCACCTGTACAGTAAGGTGTTTAATCATGTCGGTTTTGTTGTTAATTAGGAGCAGGACGTCTGAGTGAGGGGTTAATGTGACTGTTCGTTACTGACAGTGAGCAGTTCAGACCGTTTGACGGGAGACAGACTTTGTTTTGGACGTTAGCACCGTCTGGGAGCTGCCGGCTCTCAGCTAGCAGCAGGACTCGGTCACTGACAGCTGATTGACGCGGTTCGTTCGTTCACGGAACCGTGATGTCGCACAGGATAAAGCGTACCTGAGACTTAGGCAGACTTTGAATTTGTCAATGTGTTTAAGCTGTACGAGCTGCTGTTTGACTGCTGGCTAACAGCCTCCCTCCGTGATTATGTGCTGATCCAATTATCTGAGCTTGTTGGCGAGCCGGGGTCCGAACGTAGCTCCTTGTAGACAGCAGGTGAAGGACAGACGCGCTCTCGCCTGTGAGTCATTTGTTTGATATTGTGTTATGTAAAACATTGAAGTAAAGGTTATGGCCACTGCTCATACAAATTCTCGGGAGTGGAGATCTCCTGTGGTTTAGCCAGCAGGTTCCCAGTGATGTTCAAACCCAAACAAGAGAATGGTGTTTGTACTTTACAGATAAGCCAGATATTGTTGCGTCCTTGTGCTTCACACTGAGGTACCAGAACCTTTACAATCAGTACTGTCTACAGGGAATAAGTGCTCAAAACAGTCTATGACTATGACACCCAAAGCAAATCATCAGTCACATGGGAGTCTGTGTGAAAGGCATTTAAACGGTCTGGCTCGCTTCTCTGTTGCTGCTACTGTCCTAGAAATAAATCCTAAACAATGCAGACGTTGTCATCAAGTCAGTGCTCATGTTTCACTTCACTTACATTCAGCATCATCTGACAACTACTTATAGTGACATATCAGAATCTGCCAACTGAATCGTTACCAAACTATTTCTTCACCAATATGTTAGTAAAGGTGTGTAATAACATGCTTTAAAATGTTGACGTTCAACTCCTGTGGGAAATATTCTCATATTGTCATTCATTCTCATATTCTGTTTGCACTATTCTCTTTTATGTGTACTTTTATACTTGTTTGCACTATTTCTCATATTTATATGTACATTTTTCTGTCTAGTGTGTGTGTATCTCTACGTGTAATGCTGCTAACAACAATGTGAATTTCTCCACTGTGAGATAAATAAACACATATCTTATATTATCTTATCTGAAAACCCTGGAAAAACCTGCTCAAGTTACGGTACCAATAAATGATTGTTGAAAAATCGATTACAAAAAAAACCAAATCGGGCCTTAAGTAACTTATGAGGGGTCAAATCAATAAAAATGGATAAGAAATAGCAATTTCCCTGAGGTCTTGTACCGAAGGGATTAATAAAGTTTTATTCTAATCAGGGTTTGTTCATGATTCTGAGTTTCACCACAAACACGCCATTGTTGAAAAAGGCCACACTCACGTTTACATTTACATTCCCAGTAGCTTTTATAAAGTTTTTTTGAAAACTAAATTTTATAATTCATCCTACATCCACCCAACTGGTCGAGGCAGATGGCCGTCCCTCCCTGAGCCTGGTTCTGTCGGAGGTTTTTTTTCCCCTGTGGGGGTTTTCGGTTCCTTCCCACTGTTGCAGACTGCTTGCGGACTGCTGAAGCTTATAGGGAATCCAGATGTTTTGGATTGTTGGGTGTTTCTGTCTCTGCCTTTGTGAAGCGCTATGAGATGACTTATTGTTGTAAATATGTGCTATACAAATAAAATTGATTGAATTGAATTGAATTTATTTCACATACTGACACACTGCTCAAAAAATAAAGGGAACACTGAAATAACACATCCTAGATCTGAATGAGTAAAATATTCCTGTTGAAAAACTTTATTCGTTACATAGTGGAATGCGTTGAGAACAAAATAACATAAAAACGATTGATGTAAATCAAAATGATTATCCCACGGAGATCTGGATTTGGAATCATACTCAAAATAAAAGTGGAAAATCACATTACAGGCTGATATTAGGAGTTATGAAATCATGACCACAGAAATGTTACATCTAACTTTTGGCCCACAGTGTTACATGTCATGTTGTAAATTAACAAGTCAAACTGAAGCCATCACTGATTATTAGTTGATGGTCAGTTCTGAGTCAACAGTTAGTCAAACAAAATAAGAGGTTATCTTTGGCTTTATGATGGGCACTTAACTAATTAACTACATTATTAATCAACATTAGTGCCCCAGTCGGTATTAAAAGACAAAGTAGTAGCAGATGAGAAATTGCTGTCTTTAGTTAGTTTACCAAACAGACTACAAAGAGCAGTTTTACATGATGTGGACCCAGAGTTAGATATGAGCCGTTTTGTTTGTTTTGCTCTTAACTGAAAAGTGCACTTTTCACTCTCTGTTCATGCATTATTAACAAACTGTTAATGAAGTCAGTAACTAACCTACAGCCTGTTTTTTCTATGAATTCTCTGCAGGCTCCCAGGATGGCCCAGGCAGACAGCAAGATGCTGGTTCTGGGAGCGTTAGCAGGAGTGGCCGGCATCAGCCTGGCTGTGGTGTGTTACCAGGGTTTTAAATCAAGACGAAGGGCCTCGTTCCCGGGGTACTACCATAGCCGCACTAGTGAACAGGGGTCGGGGCTCATGTTGGTGGATGGCCCCGGTTTGTCCGGTGGTCAGGCTGAGGTGCTGCAGCGCCTTGAATCCCTGATCCAGTGTGTGTCTGAGCTGAAGGATGAGATGAAGGCTTTGAAGAACGCTCTGCCAACACTCCCAGACCAAGTCAGGGAAGAGCTGAGGGGACGTGACCATGCGCGTCGAGTCAGCCCTCTGTTCAGGACCACACCAACACGAAGGAAAAGGGCTGCAGGCTCCATCGCAGGGTCCAGACCTGAGGGTCGCAGCTCAGAGGAGGCAGAGAGCGAGGGAGGGTGAGTACGCTGAAAGATTCAAGTATGGCTGCATTGTATTTTACTGAATTTCATCTTTTTTAGCAAGCCACAAAAGTCATACTGGTACCCCTTTTCCTCACTCACTCACAAAGACACACACAACTTGATAATAAAAACTTAGTTTACATCCAACAATTGCTTTCAGATTTATAGGATTCACACACACAGCATGAACCCAAATGTTAACCACGGTCAAGTGGACACACACACACACTCACGCACTGCCCCAGATTTATATTTTAGTCAAATATTAATTATGAAGTGCAACAGTCTTGGACCTTTGATCACAGTCTGGACTGTAGCTCTCATGACAATCATTAATTTTGTTAATTTGCGCCTTCACCGTCTGCCTAATGAACCATGTCTCCACCTACTGTTTAAACACAAATCACACACTGTTACAAAATAAACAACCATGTGTTTTTTTCCAATTCTGCATCCACCTTATATGCTGTTTGGAAACAAATAATGCATGTAGCTACCATGCCAAAAGTGTGGCACAGCGTCGTGCTGGTAGACTGTTGCAGGTAGTGCAGTGGCTGACTAATATTTATATATTTGAATAGTAAGTGTGCAAAACATTATGTCTCTTTATTTGTGCTTTGTGAATGATAGGATTACAGGGTTTTCCTGGTTTAGAAGGGGCCTTTTGGGGGGTTGTCTGCACGTGACAGTAAGAATAATTGTTCCCTCTACAGTAAAAACAAAGAGTCTGTTTTTGCACATTAATTTAATAAACCAAAATTTCTGTCATGCTTGGGTAAATGAAACCTCAATTAACAACACTGGTTTATTTTTATTTCTTTTTAAGCCTCAATTCTGTAGTCAGTTTGCTGAAAATATGAAATTGTGATTTTTGTAATAAACATTGTGATGGTGGCTCGGTGGTTAGCACTGTTGCCTCGCAGCAAGAAGGTCGCCGGTTCGCGCCCTGGTGAGGACACCCGGAATCTTTCTATGTGGAGTTTGCATGTTCTCCCCGTGCAGTGTGGGTTCTCTCCGGGTTCTCCGGCTTCCTCCCACACAGTCCAAAAATATGTTGAGGTTAATTGTTGATTCTAAATTGTCCGTAGGTGTGAATGTGAGTGTGCTTGGTTGTCTGTCTCTAAGTGTAGCCCTGTGGTAGACTGGTGACCTGTCCAGGGTGTCCCCTGCCTTCACCCTGAGTCAGCTGGGATAGACTCCAGCCCCCACGACCCCAGTGAGGATTAAGCGGTGTATAGATGATGGATGGACATTCTGATAGAAAATTGATTTGTGATATAATTCAAGCTTTAGTTCAACAATTATTGTGTAATAGATTTAAAAAATGGGGCAATAACACTTGGGATGTCTTGCAGGATATAAACTGGGAAAAGCATTGTTGCAGGAGTTTAACCGCTGGTCAGACATGCTGCATAGTTTATACTCTAAATTACAGCCTTTGCAGTTAATTGCAATGTTTCTAATTGCAATTTCGATTTAAAATTGATTAATTGTCCGTCCTTATTTATTTCCTATCATTTTGGTGCTGGTAGTTTGTCTTTGATGCTGGCCAAAAAATTCCCCTTTGCAGGAAAAACACCAAAGTGGATCTGTGGTGTGTGACTGCATGAACCGCAGGTCGTTAATTTAAACTAAAGAAAAAAAATTATTGTGATTCTTCTTTATGAAGAGTCAAGTTGGAAGTTTCTCTAACTGATTATTTCATATGCAACTGTACATTTAGAAATCAGGTGGCGTATGTAGCTCTGTGAATCTACACCAGAAAGCTCTGCAGATAGTGAAAGCTGTGATGACTAGTAAAATAGTTTTGCATTTTTTACTATATATACAGTATATATATATGGATGCTGACATTAAATTAATACAACTTTTTCTGTCATCATACAGAGATGGTGCTTGTAATAGTTTAGAATCAGTGTCATCATTACACAGTTTGTCCAGCAGACTCCACTGTTCACTGTTGGTTTAAAGGGTTTTAAAATAGCGTTAAATCTCATCCTGTAGTCTGGATCTTTATTAGATTCTGATCACAAACATTACATGTCTGGTATGTTAGAATCATGTTTCTGCTCACTGTCAACATCTGCTTTTGTCAAATAGTTTCCTTAGGCTCAAGTCATATTCCAATGTAAATAACTCCCAATAGTTAAACACAAGAAAATAAACAGTAGCAAACTGTAAATTATATTCAGGTTAATTTCTACTTTGGCATTCTTATCTGTTGATCATTGTGAGTTAAAAAGGTTGTGGCCCTCCCACTTTACCAGTTAAACTCGCTCGCTTGTTTTATGATCTAAATTATAGTTATGACAGTACGTACATTTGCCTGAGGTGCCGCAGAGAACAGCAGACTAATCAAGTACCACATGCCCAGTCATCCACCTCCATCCTCAGCCAAATGCCTTGAACTCAGGCCAGCCTTTGATAACATAAACAACAGATGCGTTTCTTTTCAATGGACTTCCATTTGAAATCTCATCCTATAAAAACAAATAGCATCAGTTAAATGGTGATGATTAATCCAAGGCCTTAATATCTGCAGCAGCTAGACAGACTTAAGTTTGTCTTGGACACCACTGGGTATATCCCCAACACGCAAACTCTTGAAGTTTGGGCAACAAATCAGAGAACGGATATTTTAGCACTCAGACATCTCTGCTCGGATCTGAATTTTGTCTGTCATTCGACTGCTTAACCTGGATTGATCTCTGCTTCATTTGTGTAGGAAGTAGAGCATGTGCAGTGCCAAAAAGAAAACATACCACTGGGTGCAGCTGTATTGACATCCTAACCACAGTTTTTAGGTGTGCAGTAAGCCTCAGATCAGAGCTTTGTTACACCCTCCCGTCTCTCTCACTCTCCTCCCAGTGATTAATCAATTGCCTTGGAGCAGATTTTTACAAACATCATGAAGCAGACTAACTGTACATCCAGTGCGCCGTGGATAATTAATCAATGCTGAGCTTTGCTGTCTGTGTCGTCTAAGAATTACATTCCATGCAAAGGCTGCGTTGAGCGGGGTTTTTGAAATAATTACTAGGAAATGCAAAATCAGTCGTTATATAATGTTGCACCCACATACATATAAACATATCATTGTGTGAATTGCAATAAGTCTTATCTGATCTGTTTCGTGCCAGGAATGACGCAGGACCGCTGTGAAAAAGTACCACTGTTGCTCTAAAATTGTTTGAGGTCATGTACATTTCTTGGCGCTGGAAGTAAGACAGTTCATAGACAGGTAATAACACCATATGATATGAGCCCTCTTTCATGGTGGATAAACACTTCAGGTCACCCTGCCTCTACTTATGTTACCTTCGCCCTCCTCATTGGCTCGACGAGCTGATTGAGGTGTAAGACTGCCCTCTAGCAGATGTGGTTCACAGGTTTTGAGTGACAGTCGTCAGCCGCATCAAATGCTCCTAATTACAGTTCAGGTTATTATGCTTTAAAAGAAATCACATCACGCACACACCTCCCATAATTAAAGAGCCTTTCCTGCCGCTCTGTTATTTGTATGAGCAGAGGGTGTGGGGGTTAGTGGGAATGCTGCAGTGAAGAAATTCCAGCCCCGTAGGGAGTGTGTAGAGTTCCCCCAGAGGAGCCGGCTAACATCTCTAATCCTCACATTCATTTAAAGGGCTTTGAGTAAAAGTCATTACAAGTTTATTGAAATCCAAAGCTGCAAGAATACATTTGAGATTAGCGAGGTGAGTGCATGTGTTGCTCTGTGCAAAAGTGTAAGTTTGCAAACCTTTTAGTGCAACGTTGTGCTGCTTCAGACACCAAGTTTCAGTGTAACACACTGTCGGTTCAAGTCGCAGTCAGCAACTGATTTATTAAATGAGGAAAAAAAAAAAAAAAGAATTATTAGATTTCCTAAACTTCTGTAAATAATGGCATTGGTGTGGAGGCAGATTTCCAACAGGGGGCATCATGCAAGTGTGAACAGGACCTTGGACTAATCCCACAACAAGCTCTGCTGCAGAACATGATAGATGCACATCACGAATAGGCGAAGGCTTGTTTTTATACCTTTCTGTTGGTGATTACTTTTGCAAGCGTAATGACTTCTGACATTGGTGTCGAAATGTTTTTCTAGTCGAATAAAAAAAATATTGAAAATTATTATTTTCCTTGGACAACTTTTTTTCCCCATATGTTTACAGAGACATTTCAGGCATGACCAGCGCTGGCAAGACAGTCTAGTTCCAGCCTGAGTGTAACAAAGCATATTACTCGTACAGAAACACTGCAAACAACAGAACAATTAGTGTGACATAATGTCAGAAATATGGAGCAGGGTAGTGTCGATCAAGGCAGGGTACAAGGTTGAAAGTTCCAGCTGTTTGCTCCATTCACTCCTCATGTGTCACAATGACTTCCTCAGAGCTACCTTTCTGCAGGTAAGGAGACCCATCAATCACGCTGTCTGTGTGCCAAGCTGTCAAAGGCCTCATTTAAAGGTGTCTTGCAGGAACATGTAAATCCTCGAACAGTTCCCACTGAGTTTATTCACATCGAGTCGCTGTAGCTCAAGGACATTAGCACTTTGTTTTTTCCTTCTCCAAAAAAACAGCATTTATGACACTGGATGGTTGTTGATTTAAGCAGGAGTTTTGTTTAGCGAAGGGCAAGCCTGATCAACACACAGAAATGTTTAGAAAGACAAAAAAGGAGATCATTGTCTGCTCTGTGATTAAAAGCTTTAGTCGAACTTCCCTGTGACGTCATGGTGAGTGTTGCTCCTCAGCTGCCCGTGGCGGAGACATTCACATCTCTATCCTCAGATTCATTCCTCGATGAAAGGTTTCCAGCCTGACAAATGCATTTATTTACTTGAGTTTTAGGAGTGCAGTGTATTCTGTGCACACAGAGCAGACACACTGAGCTGTCTGACGTGTCCTCGGTCCCTCCTGGCTGCTGTCTGACCTATATCTGCTCAGTTTGACTCTGACCACCCACGTCTCCCGCTCAGCATTTGGCCCAGG